CCATACTATCACTAGTTTGTTATGATCCACACAGTCAAATGCCTTTGTACAGTCAACAATGCATAAATTAGAATTTTTCTGGTATTCTTTGCTTTCAACCAAGAGCCATATGATTTCAGCAATGATATCCCTCATTCTGTAGTCCTGGTGTGGCACTGTGGGTTAATGTGCTGGACTGCAATATCGGTTTGAATCACAACATTGGTGATTCAAACTCACCAGCCGCTCCTCGGAAATCCTATACAGGGTCGCTATGGGTCGGAACCAACTCCATGGCACTTAACAACATCCCTCGTTCCACATCCTCTTCTGAATCTGGCTTGAATATATTGCAGATCCTTGCTGATGTACTGCTGCAACCATTTATGAATTATTTTCAGCAAAATTTTACTTGCATATGATATTAAAGATATTGTTCGATGACTTCTGCATTTTATTGGATAACCTTTCTTTGAAATGGGCACAAATATATAGAACTCTGTCAATTGGTTGGCCAGGTAACCATCTTCCAAATTTCTTGACATAGACAGGTGAGCACCTTCGGTACTGAATCACTTTGTTGAAACATTTCAAGTTGCATTCCATCAGTTTCTAGTGCCTTGTTTTTCTTCAATGCCTTCAAGTGCATCTTGGACTTGTTTAGTCAATAGCAACTGTTCTTGATCATATGCTACCTCTTTGTGATGGCTGCACACTGGACCAGTTCTTTTTGGCTGAGTGACTTCATCTTCTTTTGTTGCTTCTTGTATGATTCAATATTTTGCTTATGTTGTTGCTAAGTGGCGTCGGGTCTGTTCCTACTCATAGCAACCCTGTATAGTGTTCCCAAGGAGCAGTTGGTAGATTTCAACTGCCAACCTTTCAGTTTCATCTTACGGCACCACACCAGGACTCTTATTCATATTTTGCCCATAGAATCCTTATACATTATGACTCAAGGCTTGAATTTTTCTTTGGTTCGTTCAGCTTGAGAATGCTTAGCATGTTTTTGTTTTGTTTTTCCATTTGGTTTTCTAACTCCAGTATTTTCATTACAATACTTTGTCTTTTCAAGCCGCCCTTTGAGATTTTCTCTTCATCAGCTCTTTTACATCATCATTTCTTTCATTGGCTTTAGCTTCTTTATGCTCAAAATCAATTTTCAGAGTCTCTTTTGATACCCATTTCAGTGTTTTCTTTTCTTCCTGTCTTTTTAATGATCTGTTGCTTTCCTTGTGTGTGATGTTGTTGATGTCATCCACAACTCTAATCTTCAGCCCATAGTATCTAATGCACAAAATCTGTTCTTGAGATGGTCACTAAATTCAGGTGGGATATATTCAAGGTCATAAGGAGCTCTGGAAGCGTAGTGGTTACGAATAGGGCTGCGAACCGTGAGGTCAGCAGTTCAAAACTACCAGTGGTTCTGCGGGAGAAAGATAAGGCTTTCTGCTCCTGTAAAGGTTTACAGCCTCGGAAACCCTGTACAGGGTTGCTATGGGTTGGAACCAACTCCACGGCACACAGCAGCAGCAACAGCATACTCAAGGTCATAGTTTGGCTTTCAGGGTTTTCCTTACATTTCCTTCAGCTTCATCCTGAACTTGCATGTGAACAATTGATGGTTTGTTCCATAGTTGGCTCCTAGCTTTGTTTTAGCTGATGATATTGAGCATCTCCATCATCTCTTTCCACAAATGCAGTTGATTTGATTCTTGGAGAGGTATATGTGTATAGTCACTGTTTATGTGTTTGAAAAGAGTATTTCCAATGAAAATTGCAAATTTGGTCTTGCAAAATTCTGTCTTGCAATCCCCAGATCTATTCTATCACTGAGGTCGTATTATTCCAATTACCAACCCCTTCATCTTTGTTTCCAACGTTTCCATTCCAGACACCAGTAATTATCAATGCATCTCGATTACACATTTGATCAATTTCAGACTGAAGAAGATGGTAGAATTCTTCAATTTCTTTGTCATTGGCTTTTTTTTAATGCTCTAATTTGAATAACAGTGATATTAACTGGTCTTCATGGTGGGCATACAGATATTTTCCTATCACAGACAGCACTGTACTTTAAGATAGGTCTTGAGATGCTCTTTTTAAGACTGAATGGGATGCCATTCGTCTTCAATTTGTCATTCTTGGCATAATAAACCATATGATTGTATAATTCAAGATGGCCAACACCATCGGTCCCTTTCAGCTTACTAATGCCTAGAATATTGATCTTTTTGCATTGCATTTCATTTTTGACAACACCCAATTTTCCTAGATTCATATTTCATGCATTCCACATTATTAATGGATGTTTGCAGTAGTTTCTTTTCATTTTGAGTTGTTCCCTGTCAGCAAACAAAGGTCCCCAAAGTTTTGCTCCATTCATGTTATTAAAGGCAAATCTACTTTGAGAAGGCAGCTCTTCTTCAGTCATATTTTGAGTGCCTTCTAACCTGGGGGGGCTCATCTTCCAGTACTACATCAGACCTGTTTTGTTGGTTTGCTGGTGTTCTTATGGCTTTTAGCAGCTAACCTTTCAGAAGTGGTTTGCCTCTCCTTCTTCCTAGTCTGTCTTAGTCTGGAAACTCCGCTAAAACCTGTCCATCATGGGAGACCCTGCTGGTATTTAAAATACTGGTAGCGTCCCTTCTAGCATCACAACAACACAAAAGCCACCAGAGCAAACTGACAGATAAGTGGTGGTTGTACATATTACAGCCTAGGAATGAATCCCTTTGAGGCAGTTCTACTACGATACATGGGATCAACATGAATCTAAATGCACTCAAGGACACCTAACAATAGTTAAGAAGTAGAAGCAAATTAAAAACAAAACAAAGAGAAAAACCCCACGAAACCAATCCCTATCAAGCTGATTCCAACTCATGGTAATCCCTTGAGTGAAGAATAGAACTGCACTCCATATTATTTTCCAGGGTGTGATCTTTTGGAAGCAGATCATCTGAAGCTATTCTTCTAAGGAACCTGTGGGCGGGCTCAGATAGTTAACCATTTGTTTCACCCAAGGTTTCCAAAAGTAAACTTTGAAAAAGTAAGAAAAGAAACCCATTGTATTGGAGTTCATTCCAACTCATAGCAACACTAAGGGATCCAGAAGACTTACCACCATTGGATTTTCAGGGGTGAAAAACTTAACAGAAGCAGGTGGCCACATCTCTGCAGGTGGCCACATCTCTAACTACCAACCTACCAGTTAGCAGTCAAACATTTAACTGCGGTGCCACCAGGGTCCCTAGAAGCAGATATATAGAAAGATATGAGGAGGCCTTCAAAAAGTTCATGGGAAAATTCTATTACCTTTTCATTTGAACTCAGATGCTTCCAGGATTCTGATGATCCCACGTGAATGAAGAGGACTATGAAGGGAAGGAATGTCCAATGGGGTGGACTGTAATGAACCAGTGAACTCACATCTTATCTGAAGGGTCAACTTCTACCAATTACACAGAGGTTCCTATTTGGAGGATGTGGCCCAGTAAAGCCATTTTGTTTGTTTGTTTGTTTGTTTTCAAGAAATCTTGCTTTCACTTGTAATCTCCCAGGTTTTAGATGAAGGCAGCAACAAATTCATACTTTTGTTAAGTTACTCCAACAATGATCTTGGAGACCAAATTTAGCTAATGGATTACTGATTTGTGATTCCACCAGCCACTCCTTGGAAACCCTATACAGGGTCACTATGAGTCAGAACTGACTCCACAGCACTTAGCAACAACAACCTATAATATAATGGTGGAATCTTGGTATGGCACTGAAGAACAAGCACTTGACTGCCATCCACAAATTCGGCAGTTCAAACTCACCAACTGATCCTCAGAAACCCTATACAGGGTTGCTACGAGTCAGAACTGACTCAACAGCACTTAACAATGTATATATATTGGAGTCATGGTGTGGTGCTGAGTTTAATGTGCTGGACTGCAAGGTCGTTTTGAACCACAAAGTCAGTGGTTCAAGTTTACCAGGCAGTCCTTGGAAACCCTATACAAGGTCACTATGAGTCAGAACTGGCTTGATGGCACTTAACAACAACGACAATATTTGATGGGAGATTGCTAACTGCAAGATTGGTGGTTTAAACCCACCAGCTACACCATGGGAGAAAAGCGAAGCTGTCGGCTGCCATAGCGCAGTCCCTGGAGCCCTAAGGAGAAGCTCTACTCGGTCCTACAAGGTTGATATGAGTCAAAAACAATTCAAAGGCAGTGGGTTTTGTTTTTGGTTTATATCTGATGAAATATATGGGGGAATGAATGTTGTTGTTATTGTTAAGTGCCATCTAGCTGGCTCCAACTCCCAGCAGCTCTGTATGCTTTCCATGGAGCAGCTGATGGGCTTGAACTACTGACATTGTGGTTAACAGTCCAGTGCCTATCCTACAGTTCCACATCAGGACTCCTAGATGAATGGATAGATAGATGCTATTGTTAGCCACTTTTCAGCCTGTTTCAATTTACAGTGACCACATCTTTCTCCCGTGGGGCTGCTAGGCAGGTTGGAACCATCAGCTTTTCAGCTTGCATCCAAGTGTTTAACTGCTGTATCACTAGGGTTCCTTGATACAGATCAATACAGACAGAGAGATAGGTATGGATAAATGATAGACAGATAGATGAGGAATGGATGGATAGATACAGACAGACAGACAGACAGATAGGTATGGATAGGTGATAGATAGATGAGGGATGGATGGATAGATAAAAACAGACAGAGAGATAGGTATGGATAGGTGATAGATAGATGAGGGATGGATGGATAGATAGACACAGACAGGTAGGTAAAGCTAGATGGATAGCTGATGGATGGAAAGGTAGATAAATACAGACAGACAGACAGACAGGTAGGTAGGTAGAGATAGATAGATAGATAGATAGATAGATAGATAGATAGATAGATAGATAGATAGAAAGAAAAACAGAGATGAAGAAGACAAAGAAAGAGTAGTGTCAAACCCTTGGCCTAGGACATGAGAGAGTACGTTGCAGGTAAAGCCATACCTACGGGTGTGGACACAGCTCCCCAGCCTGAGATGAGGCACTGAGTCCCTGCAGAGACACAGTTGTCACTGAAGTTGAGCGGCTTCACAGCAGAATTCAGGCGGGCTCTCCTGGGCAGGCGAATCAGCATGATGTCATCATTGTGGTCTTGAGCTCTGAGGTCGTCATTGAACCCAGGGTGGGGGAAGAAGTCTGTAACCCGGAACAGCTGCTCTGCACCCTCCCATCGCCAGAGGTTGTGCTCCCCGAGGCGAACCCACAGGTACCTGTAGGGACAGGCTGAGAGGTCAAGCAATGATAAGATGAGTATCTTCTCAATCCCAGTCTTTTCCTTTCTGTCAGGGTGCTGTGTGCCTTACTACAAAGCACACAACTTCGCTAGAATTTCCCCCCATCATCTATTAGCTCTGGTAACATAATGGTTACAAGTCAGGCTGCGAACCGCAAGGTCACCAGTTTGGAACTACCAGCTGTTCCACGGGAGAACGATGAGGCTTTCTGCTCCTGTAAAGATTTACAGCCTAGGAAACACTGTACAGGGTCGCTATGAGTCAGAACCAACTCCACGGCACACAGCCAAAATACAACCAATCTATTAGCTACTCAGGATGTGATTTTAAGCAAGACACACACTCCACCTGTTTTCCTGTGTGTTAGGGTACTATGTGATTTTAAGTAAGGCGCACACCCTCTGTGGACCCCCTATCATGTATTTGTGACCCAGGGTATACTATTGTAAGAAAGACACAGACCCTTACTGTTTTCCTGTCCACTAGAGTGCTATGTGATCCATCACACACCACACACCTTCTCTGGGCCCCTGTTCCTACTCTGCCTCTTTGTTTGCCTCATTCTTTATATTCCTCCCCTGCAAAGCCTCATGACCATCTAAACTCCATGCTGAGTGAGCCATCTTCCTCTCTGCCCCACCCAGAGTCCTGGTGGTGACCCGGGTCCTCTGGAACTGTGTGGGCACATGGGGCCCCACCTACTATACAACAACAACCCCACCTCTGCCCCCACAGGTCTGGTGGCTTCTGTGGGGAGTGGCTTATGTGTGTGTGTGTGTGTGTGTGTGTGTGGACGGATGGGATATGGAAAATTCCCAAATTGGAGATCATTTTGGGTTAACTTGTGATCTTGGTCTTCTGCTTGACATAGCCCTCACCCCTCAACACATTTACTTCTGCAGTCTAACCTAAAGCCTTCTTGCTGCAACCCCAGCCCATGTGTTCTGCTCTGGTTCTGTGCCTTGGACAGCTGGAAGCCCATTGGTGTTGTAGATATTCATCTTCTAGCCTCTGACATTAAGGATCCAACTAATGACTGAATTCAGGGTTTGGGTGGGGGACATTGTTTCTCTCTCTCTCTCTTAGCCTCTTTATCTTTATCTTGGCTCTATGTCTGAATGGCCAGCTTCTCACACCTCTCTTCCCAAAATCTGCTATTGAATTTCTTCTTCCTCCATATGTCTGTTTTTGCTTTTGCCCTGCTTTGTCTTTGGACTGAAATCCAAACATATCCCAGCCTGATGTACAAACCTAAACTAAAAGAGGTCCCATTGGGAAGCAGTACATGATGGGAAATTCCCACAAAGATGCCTCAATCTCTGTACTTCATTCCTAGAGGGAAGAATATTGGAACATCATGGATGGCCACCCTTTAGAGATAAAGTAGAAAAAGTTCCTGCATCCAGCAGATTCTAGAAGTCTAGAGTTTCCAATGCCCAAAACTATAGGTTCTAGAATTCTACGATTCTCACATTCTATGAAGGAGTCCTGGGCACAGTGGTTTAAGTGCTTAGCTGCTAACTAAGAGGTCTTCAGCTTGAACCCACCAACTGCTCCACAGGAGAAAGATGTAAAGATCACAGCCGTGGAACCTCTGTTGACAGTCTACAGTGTCCTACAGGGTTGCTATGAGTCAAATCGATTTGGAGGCGACAGGTTTTAACGTTCTATGAATTCATGATTCTGGGATAATAGGACTAGAATTTCATCATTCTAGAATTCCATCAATTTATGGATTTAGACATTTAAGAGTTAGGGATTTTTAAAAAATGCTTAAGTGAATAGAGAGAAATACTGTTAACTGATGGCACACGGAGGGGATTATAATCATTGTAATGAAACAAGGTGTATGAGTTGTTGAATGTAAAACTGGTGATCTGCCAGGTAAACTTTCACTCAATCCACAATAAAAACCTTAAAAAAAAAAAAAAAAAAAAGAGTTAGGGATTCAAATAGCTTACAACTAGAATTATCTGAATTAAAGTTTTAGGAATCTGGAATGCCAATATTCCGGCATATGACGTCCACTCGATTCTAGACAAACCTGTCTTGGAAGAACAGCCAGTAAGCTCCTTAGAAGCAAGAATGGTGAGACTTTGTCTCACGTATTTTGGACTTGTCAGGAGGGACCAGTCCCTGGAGAAGAGCATCATGCTTGGTAAAGTGGAGGATCAGCAAATATGAGAAGCTCTCCAACAAGATGGATTGGCACCATGCTACAACAATGGGCTCAAACAGAAGAACAATTGTGAGGAAGGTGAAGGGCTGGGCAGTGTTTCATTCTGTTGTGCAAAGGGTCTCTGAGACACAGAACCAACTCGATGACACCTAACAACAGATTATATACAGTTAGGATTCTTAGCCTTCAGAAAGAATTCTCTTGGCTCAAGATTTTAGAATTCCATGAAACACAGTTTTCTAGAACATCATGAATAAAAGATTATAGGGCTGTTTCTATATTCAGTGAAAACAGAATACTCTGAATCTAAGACAAGGATTGCATGATCAGATATGTAATTAGTCCCAATAATGCTGTGCCGAGGTCAAGGATGGCCAGATTTGGTCTCTCATATTTCGGACATATTGTCAGGAGGGACCAGTTGCGGGAGAAGGATATCATGTTTGGTAGGGTGGAGGGTCAGGATGAGAGGAAGACCCTCAACGAGATGGATTGGTCAAGTGGCAGCATCAATGGACTCAAGCATGGCAACAATAGTGAGGTTGGCCCAGGATCAGGCAGTGTTTTGTTCTGCTGTGCATAGGGTCACTATGAGTCGGTACCGACTCGATGGCACCTAACAACAACAACAGGAGTAAAATACACACTAGATTTAAAAGCGTTAATACCTCCATTCCCCACAAAGAGAAAAATATTTCATTCATTGTGGGAGTGGTGTGTTGCGGAGTCGTTTCCAACTCAGAACGACCCTGCATAGGGTTTCCGAAGCTGTAAATCTTTACAGGAGCAAAAAAGCCTCATCTTTCTCCTGTGGAACAGCTGGAAGTTTCGAACTGCTGATCTTGCGGTTAGCAGCCCAACTCACAACCACTGCACTACCAGAGTTCCTTATTTCCTTCATAATTATTCAAAAATCAACTCCCTGTTGAAATAAAGATATTTTGAATATGTCAAGTTAAAACTATTATTAGAATTAATCTTACATGTTTCTTTTCACTTTTTAAAAATGCTTCTATTAGAAAACTCAAACTTAACATATGTGGCTCACTTTATAGTTTTTTTTGGACAATGTTGCTCCAGAATTCTATAATTCTAATATGCTAGAAATGTCTGAGGTTGAACTTCTAAACTTTCATGCATCCAAGAATTTTGGGTTCTGATTGGGTTTCTGTGGACCACATTCTAGGATTCTACATTTCCAATCTTATACTCTTTGGATCAAGTCGATTAGGACAAGAAATTTTCAGAAGGATCCCTAGTTGTGCCATGGTTCAAGCACCGGGCCAATAAGGAAAGGGCAATTGTACCCACGGGTCATTCTGAAGGGAAAAGGTGTGCCATTTGCTTCATTTAAGATTTAGAACCTTGGAAACCCTATGGGAACCATATGTGGGTTCCACTTGCCCTCGGTACTTCTAGTTTTGTTTTAGAGATTTAGAGGAGCCCTCAGGGGCCAACAGGTTGATGGCTGGAACCCACTCAGAGGGACCTTAAAAGATAGTCTTGAGGAGATATATGCTGTCTAAAGATCACATGAATGAAAACACATGGGTTTGCCAAGATCTAGGGCAACTAACAATACCAACATAGGGGCTGAGTCCTGGCGTGGCGCTGTAGGGTAAACCACAAGGTGGGCGGTTCAAACCCATCAGCCACTTCAAGCAAACCTTATATGAAGTCGCTATGCGTTGGAAGTCATATGAGACGGCATTAACAATAACAAAAACAAGCTACTTATCAGCGACTCCGCCATCCTCCCCCTACCCCCATTCCTCTCCCCAGGGTGGTCAGCCCGGGTCACTCACGGCTTGCGGCAATGGGCAGCTGTAACCAGCCAGCGGTCACTGATGAGGGTTGCTCCGCAGAAGAGACGAGTGAGGAAGAAGAGACCTGCCTGCCAGGGCTGCGAGTTGGCGAGACATTCCACCGCACCGATGGCCCGGGTATCTGCCCAGCCGTGCACTGCGGTGAAGGTGGGGAGCAGAGGGGTTAATGAAAGGTGTTGGGGTGGGAAATGGAGGCACAGAGAGGATGCTGAGACTCTCAGAGCACCGGGCAGCAGAATGGGAAGAAGGG